GCATATACTAATAGCATGTATATACTGAAAGTATATATATTCTGCCTTCCTATATAAAATCCCCAAGATACTGGCTTGGAACAGACAAAATGTTCATTCAACACTGTTACACTAAATTTTAATTGTATTAAAACAGTATATTTAACATTTAAACTAAATAGTGGCAAAGCCGACAGTTCAATTGTCATGGCAGCAGAGGCTCTCTGAAATGAAAGGATGTTTATACTTTGTCAAAAAGCTGTGAGGGAATAAGACAAGCAAACCACCAACTGGAGAAAATTGTAGATCCTGGAGACAATCACTGAAAAGGTCCCTTTCTGTATAGCCAGTGTCCAATTTCATAGGGCAGGGGAACAGAAGGCTTGGCTTTTGTTCATCTAAATCAGGTTTTCCCCATCTGACACTTTCAGGTATGTTGGACTGCAAATTGCATCATCCTAGCTAGTATGATTAAAGTTGGATGGGTAATGGAAGTTGTGCTGGGTTGAGGAAGGCTGATCTAAATGCTTGGGAAAGATTAGTGTCACAGGTCTACATGGAAGTAGTGCTTGTAGAAAAATCCTAGAAAACACTGTATGTTTTATAAATATCTGATTTATTGAGAAAGGGGAACTTTCAACTAATCAGACAATTACATTTCAGTAACCAATTCATATAATTTGTACAAAGGGTGTCTGTCTGTGGAAGAAACGTTTGTTGATCTTTGATCTAAATGGCAGGATATGCAGTTTCATACAGCTTGTGAATTTGGCTTTAGTGACCCTTTGGGTTGAGGTGGTCCATACAGTGAAAGATGTGTCACAGGATATTGACAGTTAATCCTTTACTCATTAATTTCTTGTTTCCTTCTTTTTCTCCTCTTAGGCAAACTTTGAGAAGATTGAAAATGAGCTCAAAGAGATCAACACCAACCAGGAAGCCTTGAAAAGGAACTTCCTAGAGTTGACGGAATTAAAATTCATACTGCGCAAAACTCAGCAATTTTTTGATGAGGTCAGAATATCGTACATTTTTGTCTCTTATGCAGCTGGGCCAGCCCATCACCACATTCCTTCTTGAGAATGTTTGTTTAAGTTGCAGTTTTGGGACAGAGGTGTTTCTCTTTGGTTCTGAGAAATATCTACAATTGTTTTTCATGATTCATGTAAATATGCAAGCTGGCCACCCCATGGCTTCATTATCTTTGGCTTTTGTGATATTTGGCTTTTGTGATAACCAAAAGCTTTTGTGATATTTGGCTTTTGTGATAGCCAAAAGCTCTAAGCAGAAAAGTCCCAGACAGTTGTCATAGTACTTGTTAGTTGTCAATAAGAAGTACTTGATCCTGTAAGATATCTAAAAAGATTCTTGGGGATCTGCTGTAGAGCTCACTGTGAGCCTTGGAAAAACAGGATAGAAAAACCTATCCAGATTCCTAGTTGCTTGGATCATAATTTTAGTATCTGTAGAGCCAGTGTGGTGTAGTGGCTTGAGCGTTGGACTGCAACTCTGAAGGACAGGGTTTGATTCCCAGCTTGGCCATGAAACCCACTGGGTGACCTTGGGCAAGTCACATGCTCTCAGCCTCAGGGAAAGGTAATGGCAAACCTTCTCTGAACAAACCTTGCCAAGAAAACCCCATGATAGGTTCTCACCAGGGTCGCCTTAAGTCAGAAATGACTTGAAGGCATACAACAGAGAGGGAGGAGATCAGATGTTTGAACATCTCTAGTCTTGATCCTTACAGTCAGACAGGAAATCATGCATCCATATGCAATACTGATTTTCATTCTACAGTACTTTTTTCTTAGTACATTGTTAAGGCAGGAGAGTGGGAGGCTACACAGTGCTCCGCCTAAGCCTTAAATAGGTGTCAAACTAGGAGGCCCTTATGTACCTCAGGCCTGCTTCTGAAAAGAACATGCACTCCCATGTTTTTAGGCATCTGGGTGGCCAGTTGTCCCAGATTTTTCCAGTTCTCTTAGGTTTTCAGTAGTAAAAGTGAATAATTAGGCTAGTAGGAGAAGTGAATCAGCAAGGATTGCTGAGAAAGCATTAAAAGAATGCTTTAACAAAGCCAAATGAATGCTTTGCAAAAGGCTGCATTTACAGATTATAAAGGGATAGAACACATTCAGATTTGGGATCTTAAATCTTAACCACTAAAGATATTGAGTGAATTAAGAGACATTGTTTAAGAGATTGTAATGTTTCATGCTCAGCTTGGGTTTGAGCTTTGCTAGTGTCCTGTAACATATAGTTAACTCGCACAACATCCTAATTAAATACTCCAAACAAAATTGATTTATAATATAAGCAAAACTGGCTCCCCACACCTCTTCCTTTGAAAAGTTCTTGAAGCTGCTGATTCAGCCCTTCACTTGCTTTGTGGCTAATCCAGTTAGGAAGATGATCAGCAGTGTTTCTGGGTGCTTTGTCTTAGTATTGAGTATCACTTCACAGATTGTGACCTTTGTGGCTGGGCTTGGCAACTGCCACCTTCAGAAATACATTTTTTCCACCATCACAGCTGTGGAATAACACTTGAAAACATAGTGCTTGGGAAACCATCCAATCTCGGTGCAACTTGTGCTTGCCTGATTTTTCTTTCTCTTGGCAACATTCATACATCTATGCGAGTTAATGTTGAATCTTGTGTATTGCTTGAGAACGAACATAACTGACATACCTCTCCACTGTTTCCAAAGAACAGCCATATGGTAGTACTAGCTGCTAATTAGCAGTACTAGCTGCTAAATGTTGAGTTTAGCTCAACGGTGTGCTGATTTTGTATAAATATTGCTTTGAATATAGTTGTATCTCATTTTCAGTGCATTATTCAGCAGCAGTCTGAATGTACTGTGAATTTGAGTCCTTTGGATTTTGCTCGACTCACAGTTTCCCTGAATGCTGTTATAAGCTACACGTGTGACTAAAAAAAGTCTGAAACACAGGACTAGTTCTTACAAATAGTAGACACTTTTGTCAGATCTGTATTACATCAGACTGCAGGTGGAGGTGTAGCATGATGTAACATTTTTGTCACAGAAAGATATTACCTACTAATAAGCACTCCAGTTTTCTACATGCAGGGCCTTTCTGTGTATGGAGAAATACTCCATCAAGTAAACTCTGCTTGTGTTCTGAACTGATACAATCTAACTTTTCTGTTGCCAAGAACTGGGCCTCACTTGTCTTTTAGCTTCACAAGTAAAATGGTGCAGGATGGACAGTGGCAAACACTGAAAGTAGCAGTTGTCAGCGCAAAGTCTCTTGCTAATGTTTTCAGTATTTGGAACTATTTAAGCAACTGTTTAGATTAGCCAACTCAGTGTGAACATTATGCACTGTGTAACTTTCCACTGAAATGCAGCTTCCACAGAGTCATGAGTTACTTCATGTTTATTCTTTGAGCAACTTCACATAAACAGGCGATGGTTCCTTAGTAATCCAAATTTGAGGGAGTACTTTTTAAGGTGGCACAGCCTAGTTGTTGCTCCATCTTCCATTTATTATTTTTGCCACAGAGTCTTGTTGCTTCCAGCATTTGAAAACTTTTTAAATTGTTGGGGGGAGTTTGTGAAACATTGGTAATTTTACAGCAAGAAATGGTTTGCGGGGCAAGTCTTTTATCTGAAGACACTTCATCGGAGACAGTGACCCTTGCTGAAGTGTTTGCCAGTATAGCTATTTCTTGCCTGTGAAAAAGAAAAAGAATGGTTTTGATTCTGTTAACTGGTGATCCTTTTCTCAGTCTTCATATTCTTACTTAGAGAAAAACAGGAGTAATGTCTTTGGATCTAATAGCCATAAGTGCCCCAGAATAGATTGGAAGAAGACTGGAAAAGTAATGGTTAATGGCATGCAGTTCCCATCTCCCTCCTCTGATTTCTTTCTTTTTCTTTCATCATCTGCAGTCCTTAGTTCTCATTCTGCATCTGTTCTTCTCATTGGTGGTCCTTGCTGCAGGTGTTGAAGACTGTGGAAAGTGTATCTGTGTTCAGTCTTGTTGTTTGCTCAAGGGCTATTTGTATGTACCAGAAGGACCTTGAGTTGTTTGGCCTGCACAGTTGTCTTTTAAGGGTGCTCTCAGAGAAGGGATGTTTTCTCTTTATTACTTTTTTAAAATTGTGCTATTGTTGCTGTTACCTGGCAATAAAATACTGATATGGGCCTAAA